CACTCTGGTCTAGACAGTCTCTTACACTGTGTGCTATTTTTGAGTTGCAGTTTAGGTTTCTTTGTATTCCAAGTGCCTGAGAAACTGGCACTTGAAGGATGTCATAAAAAACGTTGGAAATTTAATTCTCCATTATGCTTTTCCTACAACTTTTTGTTTGGTTGATTTTACATGTTGGCTTAGGAAGTGAGTTTTTTCTGCCTCTTCTCAAATGTACTTAGCAGTCCACACAGATCATGAGGGCCTCCCGGGACTAATTTGAAAATCTCACTGGTGAACTTTTGGACTCCTTCTCTGAGATTTTCTGTTAAATGACTCAGTACCACATCTTGCAGGTTCATCTTTTGAACTGTTTAGATGGAGATTGTAATTATCTGTTAGTAAAGAGGAATGAAAATAGCAAAAAAAAAAAAAAAGTAAAATGGAACACTCTAGACAATAAAAGTTTGAAAGTTGTTTTTCTGTAGTGGGGCTTATGGCTGTTCTAGGCTGTGGGATACTTAATGACCAATCCATGTAGTTAGTAGTTTTTCTTTCAAAAGGATGCTTCATCATTAAATCAGCTGTAAGCACTTAACTGAACGTTGTAACTGAACACTGTAGTTGATTGATCACTGTGGTGAATTTGTATCTTCAAATGAGCAGAATACCTGGTAAAGGAGTGTGGAAGAGAGGAGGGAGCGGAAACTTTGATCAGGATGTAAATTAAATAAATAGATTTAACTAATTAAAAACAAGAGTGTGGAAGGAAGGCTCATGAGTTTTGTGTGTGAATGCTTAAACTTTGGCTCTTTGGATGAAGGTAGATTCCAGTTTAGGTGCAAAAAGTTTAACTTATTTTGTTCATAACGTAAGTTCCCCACGGAAGCAGGAAGTTAGGTGTGTCGGTGTGCCATGGAATCACAAAGGTCCTACTGATAAGGCATGGTCTTGGGGCTGTGCTACCCGACCTCAGGCCATTTGCTTTTTTTTTTTCTCATGGGAATCCTGGAAATATTTCCATTTTCTAGACTCCAGCTCTTACCTAGTAACTGGTCATGTCCCTACCCTCCTAGCTAATAATAGGTCCTTATGTGAAAATCAAAACGGTTTATCTTACTCATTTTAAACATTTTTGAAAGAATTCCATCACATTCCAGATGCCTGTCCCTTTGAAGTCCAGAGTCAGTGAGTGGAGAGAGAATGAGCTAAATTCATTACCAGCTCAGGGCCAGCATAGGATAAGTGCTCTCCAAACGCCACCACTCCGTTGACCAGTCAGGGAGCCTGCTGTGACAAATGGTGAAATAACAGCACCCAGCCTTCAAGGACTGAATCTGAAATGTTTGTCGAGGATTAAATTGCCCTTTTCCTGCCTTTTCCAGAGCATCTTCAAAGCAATTGCTGAGGGCTTAAAGGTTTTCACACATCTGTCAGCCTAACACTTGCTCTGTCAGCCTCAGTTTGCTTTCTGCTCATTGCTTCAAAAAGAAAGAGTAGGCCATTTGCAAATATTAACAGTGTAACGTGTATTTTGAACTATGGCGTTGTTTTAAATGTTGACTGCCTGTGACCGCTCAGCACTCTTACCATCACAGACTCAGAGGGATTGTTGCTTGACTTCTGTCAGAGGCAAAAAAGAGAGCACTTAATTGGAATTTCACAGCAATTTCCACATAAACCAGCTTAAATAAGGTGTATTTATGTACAGCGATCAAGAGCTGACTAATGTCCTGCTAAGTGTGTGTGTCCAAGAGATGACTGGAGTGCTGAAAATTCTCTGCACAGCAGACAAACTGCCAGGCTAGCCATGTCATAACGTGAAAGCCGTTTCCTGTTGCCCCAGCTAGAATTACTACTGTAGATTTTGTTTATATTTTTGTCATTACAGATTTTGGTGTCGTTTTGTTTATAAGTTTCAAACGGAGCAACATGTGGCAATTTAGCAGACTGCTCAATTAAACCGTTTCTGGTTTAACTTCAGATCAGATGCTTTCAGACCGCATTTATCACACAGGAGTTTAATTGGTGTCTTGTCTCATGTAAACAAATGGTTTTTAATCCATTATTTTTCCATTATTAGGGCTATATCTTAAGACTGGGAAATTTTTTTTAGAATAGGAAAATGTATACTTTATTTATACCTTGCAGTGTTTTGTTTTTATGTTCTATACTTGAACAAAACCCAAACCCAAATGGACATACACAGTTTTGATGCTTCCAGATAACATGGGAATTGTTTAACTTTGTATATCTAATTGTAACATTGTTGCATCTTCCTTTTTTCCCTATGGAGTAAAAACAAAGAATAGCCTAAAAACGCAATAGCCCCGATTAATGATGTAAAGTATGCTCACTTTGGAGAGGTAGTAAGTTAAAAGAAATGTTTGGAAACAAACTCGAAGATGCAACTTTTCTACCTAGAAATACATTACCATTTTCAAAGTGCTTCATTATCCACACTAGTAATGGAAATGTTATCTACCTAAAAATGTCATACTCTTCTTTAACTGTCTTTTGAGAATTTCATATGTGGCTATTATATTTACGTCATTTCCAGTCCATACTCTCTGCCTTCAACCACACCCAAATTCTCTTCCTACCTCTCAACCTTATGACTTTTTCTTTAACTATTATTGTGACACACGCACACACACACACACACACACACACAAACACATATCCCGAGTCCCTACAGTAATGCTCAAAAGTGTGTGTCTTTAAGGCTATCCACTTGGGATTGGATAACATGCCAGTCAGCTTGTCTCTAGAGAATACTGACTCTCTCTCTCTTGGAAGCTGCCAGTCACCTGTAGCTCTTCATTTAGGGGTGGAGCCTTGTGCGTTTTTCCCTATCCATGCTGGAATGTCAGCTGGTGTCATTATGCAGGTCTTGTTTAGGTAGCAACATTAAGATTTCACGGATTACTTTTATAATACAAATTGTAAAACTCATATAAAAGTATCATTTCTGTGGCCATTTATGGTCAATCAACACTAGAACAAGCCATAACAGAAATGAAGCCTTTTTTTTTTTAACTAACTTTGGAAAACCAAAATAATTTGTCATTTCATGTCTTTGCTTAGTTTCAAATTTTAAAACACTTTATTTTTTTAGAAATGTATTTTTTTTGCTTTTTTAAATTATGTTTTGTTTTTTCAGGACAGGGTTTCTCTGTGGCTTTGGAGGCTGTCCTGGAACTAGCTCTTGTAGACCAGGCTGGTCTCGAACTCACAGCGATCTGCCTGCCTCTGCTTCCTGAGTGCTGGAATAGGCATGCGCCACCACTGCCTGGCTAGAAATGTATTTTAAAAGTAAAAATATTAATATTGACATCTCGATATTGTGTGATAGGAGGCATAGGCACTGGTTTCCAAGTAGTTTCCCATTTTAAGGCCCTCAGGATCCTACAAATACCTTAAATATTTTTTTCTTGGGCAATCTATTTGCTTTATCATACCCTTTAAAGAAATTGGCTCAGATAAATACCTGCTGTTCTGATTGATAAGAGTACAAGTCTGAAAATACTGTGGTCTTTAAAAAGCTGTATAGGCATATCAAATCAAAATGAGAGTCTCTGGTGTGATCCAGAAATGGAAAGATGCTGCCACATGAAGACAAGAAAACATCGTAAAAATAAATCTTTATTTTCATGTTGAAATTTGGATTTCAAGGTTATTGGTCTCAAAAGATACCATATTTGAGGGTGTTCTAGGGAAAGGAATAAAGTTAATGTTTCTATTCCTGTTTCCTTAGATCAGGGAAGTTTCCTGTTCTTTGTTTTAAAGGTCACTTATTCAATTCTTAAAAGTCTGATTATTCTGGTTGTAAGCCCAGCCTTTAATGGCTAAGCCACCATTCCAGCCCCTGACTATAATATGTCAGGTAATGCTGCTGTGTACCTCAGAGTAAAAACAGGTGCCTCACTTCAGGAAATGGTGACTCCTCTCCCCATATTTATACTGTATTAAATGCATTTTATTAAAGGATGTGGTATGTAAAAGTCATCATTTAACAAGACTTGGCACTTAGTTCTCAATAACAATAGTTGTTTTTCTATGGAGTGGGGAATAGAGTTAAAATTTTTTCTTAAATATTGTATTCAATGAAAACGATTGTTGTGTCTGTGATGGTGTAGTCAAAATGTCAGAACAACATGTGATAATAATAACAAAAAGATCTTCATGACTAGTTAGACACTCAGTTAGGCCTCCTCCCCACATGTGGAGGATCCCATGGACATCTCTTAACAGATTTATGAATCATGTGCTTAAATCAATTGAGTAAAACAGAATTAGGGATGAACCACTACAGTGTGAACATGCTTTCAGGTAACTGGATTTACCATGAGAGACAATATAACTGTTCTTTTGTATTTAAAACAAGAGACAGGGATGAGGTTCAGTACTTTTACTAAGGAACAACTCTTCAGTAAATTAACTCTTACCATGTTGGGAACCCAGTTCTTTCACAGAACGTGGAAATGAACACTGAAGCGATGTAATCTCTTCCAAAGACCAGGCACTTAAATTGTTTCTTGGTAAGTAGAACATTTAGAACCGTGCCATTTAGTATTGTCATACTTAGCCACAAGAGCCTCTTTAAGTTTAAATTAATCTGGTCTGAAGATTTAGTACCTACTCATGCTAGCCATATTTGAGCTTGGCAGTTACACTTGGCCAGGAGCGCGATGTTGGCCAGGGCAGGTGCAGACGTGTGTGTCCATCATCGCAGATGTCCCTTGCCTCCTGTCACTCTAGTGTGCCTTGTAGAGAAGAACAGTCGCTATTCATTATTTGTAATTACAACCACCGGGCCTTGAGTCTTTCCACAGCATCTTCCAAATACCGAGGAGAGGACTTGGCAAGAACTTCCACACTTCAAAATGACTTTAATTTCAGTACAAGTTAGAACTGAGTTAAAGTTCAGCCACGGCGTGCTTTTACTCAGGGCCTTGGGGAAAGCTTGGAGATTGTGTGAAAGAAACGGTTAATCAATGGGATCAATGCTCTCTCTGCAGTGCCTTCCAAACCCTTCCTCCTGAACGCCCAGCCATTCTACTCTGCGTGCTGCGGTGGGTCCTGCAGGCGCCCTGCCTCCCCCACAGCTTTTGCAAGTAAGTTTTAATGCTTCATCAGCAATGCCTCAGTTACTTTGTAAACCAAAGCAGCAGGATTTAATGTGCTCAGGGAAGCTAATTGGCAGTGCAGTGGCAAGGAGCTAATGCCTCACTAAAAATCACAGCGAACCTATTCAGGAGGTTTCCAGAGATTATCAAACCTCGGCACAGTGAGCGATTGTGAGAGGGTTTTCGGCCACCCTAAGCCCGGAGCTGACATGCCAAGGCAAGGGCTTGTTTTCCATTTGGTATAAACGATCTTAGAGGGACCAGTTTGGCTTTTTCTGAAACCTGTAGACGCACTCAGTTAAAGAAGGTTGGTGGGGGGGGGGTGAGGGAAGGAAAGTAGACATGGAGAGTACACTCTGCTGTTTGCATTAGGCTTCAAATGACTCAGAAGTCACAGGTCTAGAAAATAATTAGAAACTGGAGACCGTAAAGAAGGAGTAAAGTATTATCTCTATCTTCCTGAAGAAAACTTGCCAGGGTTGTAGGGAGTGTTTTCAGGGAACTGGTCTCTAAATGTTCTAAAAGCAAAATTCAACTGTGTCTGGGAAAGAAGACGAGAAACTGAACAGAGTAGTGGCCCGCACTCCCATGCATACAGGTGTCTTGGGATGCCACTAAAAATCTATAGGCAGAGGATGGAGCCTTGCACAGGCACACAGTCAACGCCAGGTGACAGTGGAGTGAGGGTGAGTCCCAAGGCTGTTTTCAGCCCCCACGGCCCCATATATGTTCATGTGTTTAATGGGTGTTTCAGGAGAGCAGTTGCCCCACCAAATGACTTCCAACAAGCGAGGCAGCAAAGGCTGCCGTTTAATGAGCTGCAGGCTTCTGAGTATCTCTTTAGGGGGCTGATACTTTCCCACAGAGCCCTTTACACGGCTGGGACGCGGCTACAATGGGTGACAGACCCGTGACCAATCCTCACTTTTGCTGGACTCATCCACACGCGACCTCACCACGATTTTTCACTCTGCAGATGAACTTTAGGGACCATTTCACAGTGAGAGGGCTTGGGCAAGGGTCATTTGTCCTTTTGTGTGGTCATTAAGCCAGGCTCTGTGTGTCAGCCTTTTCTCCCGCTTCACATTCCAAGTGAATTTCTGGCCGCCATTTAAAGCCCTTGACTGAAAAATAAAGCAGTGAATTGAACTGACTTTTATAGACTCATTCCAGCTCATCTTCCCATATAGCCCTGTCCACCTGAAAGGGGATTTAGTGCCTGAGCTGACTGTATATAGGGACTTGCTGAATACACAGGGCCCATTATCAACTGTGGGGATTGTTTATTAACCAGGATTGATACACTTCTATTTTGGCAGTGACCTATTAATTGTCGATTTAACTAGAATGTATTGAATTTGAATAGTGAGATAGAAACCATGACTAAACCTTTTACTCGCTCCTTCAAGGTGGTCCTCTATGAGGGCGATTGAAAACTTGTGCAAATTAAGGAACCATTCATCACCAGATATTAGAGTGGCAGTCAAAGATGTCTGGAGGAGATACAAACCCAGATGCTAAAAACAAAACAAAACAAAACAAAACCACAAACAAAACAAAACAAAAAAACAAAACAATCAAGATCTCATCTCAGAGGCACTAAAGGGATCTCATACTTGATTTCCTTTATTTTGCTTATTCCATCTTGATCTCTTCTACCTCAGAAGGCTGCTCATGCTACCACTCAGGTGTGTGGAAATAGGTGCAGCAGTTTCATGTGATAGGGATGTTCAGGTGTGTGGGTATACAGGGCGGCATGGTGTATTTATTTTATGGGGGTGTTTCAAAAGAGTCTCTAACCCATAAAAGTTTGGGCCAGTTTAATAAATAGGAAAAAATCATTGGGCCACTTTAATAGAGCGAGTCATTTTCTCAAGAGCTCAAATGGTTATGTTGAGCAGGTCCCGTTTAAGGTCCCGTTTTCTCTCATTAGTTCCCAGTCCTTTCCGCTCTGTGCCCTCTGCATAGCTGTTGGAAGTGATGCTCATGCCTTGGGACTTAAGGCCCCGTGTTTATGTTGTAAAAAAAAAAATAAACACATGGCTTGAAAGATCAGTGCGGTTCAGATCAAGGACAGAAAATGTTGCCCTTGACTTGTCTGTCTTCCTAATGTTGGTCTCTTAAAATCATTTAGAGTCCTACATGTGTTTTTAATAAATGGTGCTAGGTCACTTTATTAGTTATAACTCTGAAACGAATATCTTATTTTCCTGTTTATAGTGTTCATTCACATTGGCAGCAACTAATAAGAAGGTGGGATCTCGCTGTCCATAAAGAATTCTACAAAAGCAACTATGACAACCAGGGCACAGCTAATGAGCTTTACATCTGAAGTACTTTTTCACTAAAGGAATTTACTAGATTTTCTTTTTTTTAAAATAATAAGTGTTTATATCCAAGTTGCTAAATTATTTTCCATTGCAGAAAAAAAAGGGAGAGAAAGAAAATGAGCCGTTCAAGTAAACTTGTGTCAAGTTTCCGCTTGGACAGCCAAAAGCAAGGTTTACACTAAAAGTTTTAACAAGTGATGAAACCGATGGCTGCCATTGTTGTTTCACAACGTTGACTTCACTTTTTCCCAAAACCCAGGATCGGGTCAGCACATCTGCAGCTAAACAAGTGAAATGCCTTTTCCACTCATAATGTGATTCATTTGTTTCACGTCGACTGGGGTTTTCTTGACTTCTCAGATTTAGACTTGATTCCCTGGTGCAATATGGAAGCCATCATTCGCCCGATGCCCTTCTCACACACGCAGTAAATTGTTTAATAGGCTGTTTCAGCACTATGCTAAAACACTGAGAACAGCAGAGAAAATTGAAAGGCACCAGTCAAAGCTGGCCCCTCCCCTAAAGCACTGCATGGAAAAATCTTTGATATTACACTCATAAACTTATTTTCAAAAATAATGCATTTCTCAGGTAACATGAAAAGGAAAGTTGTGGAAATGGCTTTTAAAAAGCTCCCTTCAAACACTGAAATCTTAATTAGGGAGGCTAGCAAATTGAGTTAATTAGATAATTACTTCATTTTGTCTTTGAGTACCCAACTTGACCTTTCAAGAATTTTGTGTCCTAGGAAACATAACTTCAGTTTGGAGCCAACTTTACGTGAGTTGTTTGAACAGAGAAAAACCTGTCGCCAGGACAAACTGCTCAGCCTTTTCCTAGAAGATGCCCTTACATTTGACATTTCCAGCTCATTCTTGCCTTTTTATCCTTGCTAAAACTTAAGGGGCCATCATATCCACTCCAGGTTTGAGTGTAGCGCTCTGTGGGCTGCAGCAGCAAAGGGCATTTTTCCTGGGTGAATCTAGATTGGCTCTGTAGGCTCACTGTCAAAGATGGGCAATGTTCTGATTGATAATATTGTTCCACCCGACCCGAGTGTTGGTCTTCTGATCTCAGCTGGAGTGATGGGTAGTCTGAGGAAACTGCCCAGAGCTGTGGAAACCTAGGAGAGACTAAATGCAATTCCTGACACATATATGCACACAAATGTAAAATATCTAACATATCCAGAGATTTAATTTAACCATTCTGTGATCTTCAGAGGGAAACAACTTTTTTTTTAAATTTAGAAAGAAGCCTGAGTGTACCACTTAGAAGATAATGGGGTTTGTAGATAATTTGAGTCTAGGTATTGACTTTTAAAAATTGATGGAGCGGTGTTGCACAGAGAAATGACAGTCGGTCAACCAAGAAGAATGTTTGAAGGATCAGAGACTCAAAACTATAGGCTTTCCAAGTTGATGGCTCTATCCAAAGCTCTAGAAAGGCAGAATCAGAGTTTCACTCCTATGAGTGCAGTTCCTTTTCTGAGTGTTCAGCCTAGATGGTAATGGTGGGGACCTCCCAGGCCTGTGGGATGCTTATCTATAACCCATTCCCTGAATATCACACGAAGTCAAATGTAGGGCTGCCTATAAAATGCCGATTTTCAGTTCCCTAATCAAGCGCACAAGAGCAGAATCGGAGTGGAGAGGGTAGACTGGATAGAGCAAAGTGGAAAAAAAGTATGGTGCCGTCTCAGTGTGTGTCCACAGAGTACAGCTGGGGTTTTTGTTGTGCTTTGGACATAGGCTGTGCAGAGGAGAGGACTGGATTCCTACTGGACTCTGAAAAACTTGGATCACCTGTGGCTGGTTCTGGAGACCCTTCAAAAGGAGCACTGATTAGTAAAAGCCAAGCTAAGAGGAAGGGAGACAGGAAAGACCTCTACTGATACCACACCCAACTTGGTGAAGAAGGTCTAAACTAAGTAGAATCATAAGTCCAAATCTTTATGATTCATGGGTAGATGCTCAAGAGCTTTCTCTGATAGTGAGATGGCACGTGACCATCTCAGACACACACACACACACACACACACACACACACACACATCTGAAAATAGCAGTGAGGAATCTTTCCACTGAAGAGAATACTGAAGGACAGAAACCCATGGGAGAGGGAGATAAACAGTTAGGGGCAGTGCAGCAGGGAGACACAGGCCTGTAGACAGCACCCCACCCTCCTCAGTAGAGGAACACTAGCATCGGGCGACACAGACACAGACTCCAGGTTTAAATAGTGAAATTTGAGGAAACAGTAAGTGGAGACTAGTGGTATTTTAGCTGGCCCATTGGAGAGGCCTGTACCAAACAAAGGATTGTCTCCCCCAGCCATGAGAAGTCACTGTGTTCATTAGAAGATGTATTTTCTTTCTCAAAGGGCTGTTAGTGTCCTCAACCTTGAGTCGTCCTGAAAGAATCTTACCTTCTTACTGAGACTCTGAAGTTGTCTAGATTCAGTGCTGTTCCCTATACTAGTGCCTCTGTCTTCCTTACAAGGCCGTAGAGGTGGGAGGGGGGTTAGCAATCTATAGATTGTTTTTTAATGTGAAAACTTAACAGGCCTTCTTAGAAGTGGGCTGGACTGTATGACCCTTGAGTAGCCCACATTGGGAACAGAGTTTGGAATGAAGCATGGAAGGTTTAGGGACCACAGGAATGATGCAGGAACTCTGTCCCCACATCCCTAAGGGTTGCTACAGTGGTTGCTTGTTTCTGCTCAAACATGGAATGCTTGTCCATACTTCTATAATGGCCTACCTCAGCACTTACATTTGCCATTCTGTCCTTTCTCCTCTGTGTTTTCACCTACTTGTAAGCTTGATACATATTGGCGGTCAGGGGCCATGAATATGTGTCCCCAGAGCAGCCTGTTTAGGTCTTCCTGTAGCATAGGCACAGGGCAGTTGCCCAGAGTGGGTCAGGTAGACAGAGAGGCTAAACCTCACATGGACTCCTGCTGCATTGTTAATGAAAAAGGGTTGTGTTGGGTTGCCAAGGTAAAATGACATGTGGGTGAGATGGGGCATGGGGAGTGGGGGGTGGGGAAGGGGGGAACCCACAAAGGATATAATATCTTTATGTTTGCCATAGTTTTTGCTTGTTCATTGGTTGTTACTGTTCATTTTAGTGCACCAAAACCCGAGAAACTAGACCCACAAGTTATTACCCCAACTTAGCTATGGGCCCAGTCAATGTGTTCATCAGACTGTGATTTCTGGTTTCAGTCCATGCCTCCCAAAATGTTAGAACTGCACCTGTAAATCCTCTATAGACATTTTTGTTCTTTTTTTTTTTCTTTCTAAACATAACTTGTTAGGAAAAGTCTATGGGTTTCTCTGGAAAGTTTTAGGGATATGTGGATGAGTCTCATTCCACATTACTAGTTGATCCCTCCTGCTCTGTGGCTGTCTGGTCTCTCTATCTGTGTCTTCCTTGATCTCTGCTGCTCTGTGCTGTGTGTTGACCATGGTCTCTCCTTCTCCTTGACTGTATGTTGTCTATGGTGTTTCTCTGTTGCTCTGTGCTGTCCGAGACGGTCACGTGCCATCTCACTGTCAGAGAACGCTCTTGATCATCTACCCATGAACTGTGAGCACCGTAAGGACAGGTTGTATTCATCTTCCACCCTCTCTCAGAGCTTATGCAGCACCTCTGCCAAGTTGTTCCCCACCGAGAAACAGATTCAAACTTAAACTGTAGATGGTGGGTGTGGATTTTATGTCCATATTTCTGCGATGGCTCACAGTAGTGTTCCCTTTGGTCCTTTCAATGGTTTCTCCTTGATACTTTTACCTGGTTGTAAGTACAGTGCATATCTTGCTGCCATGCTTTAAAACATTACACATAGTCCTTCCTTGTTGCTGTCTTTAATGGGTCCTTAAGATTTCATCCATTGGGTAGTTTATTCATCTCTTTGGGAAATTGCCATTCTCCTAATATTGAATACATTTGGTTACAGTGTTAGATTGGATACAGTCATATGCCAAGGGTGCCAAAACACAGAGGAAAGATCCAGGCTGAACTTGAGTATGTCTGGGTGGCATCTGCGCTCTGTGTCCTTAGAATAGAATTGAACCTGCAGCACTATGAGCGCTTCATCTAGGGAGTGATTGGTGTGGCATATATAGGATCCATGTAAGGACCAAGTGAGCAACAAGGGGGAATCAGATTCATGGGATCCTTGATAGCGCTGGGCATTGAGCTATTTTTGTGCTATTTTATTGACTCCTGGGAGCATCCTCCCATGCAGCATTTATCAGGTCCTCAAAGAACTTTGGGACCTAGGGTCCTTAAGCAGCATAGCTCTTACTGTAGAGAGAAAACAGCCAGCCACTGTGCTGTGTATGAAGTACTACCATGTCGAGAGTCAGAGGACTTCTCCTCTCTAACCCCACTGCCCATTTGTATGTTTCCTCTCTGCCAGGAGAAGAACACGGGCTGCCTCTGCTGACCCAGGACTCAAATTCCAAAGCCAGAAGGGGAATTTTAAGGAGAGCTGTGTTCTCGGAGGACCAGAGGAAGGCTCTGGAGAAAATGTTTCAGAAGCAGAAGTACATCAGCAAAACAGACCGAAGGAAACTTGCTGTGAGCTTGGGGCTGAAGGAGTCACAGGTACCATCGAGGAGGAAGATGCCTCCTCTTCCTAGTTTCAGCAGGAGCATGATGAAGTTTGTTCTTTTGGCAAAATTGTCTTGTGCCAGGCATGGTACCGTGCCCCGACGTGTTCTGAATTTTCAGTAGGTGGAGACACATGGGCCAAGTCCTGTGTGGAGACAGATGCACACACTGCGATGGTGAGGCTGAACTACAACATTCATTTTTATGAAATGAAGGGAAATGCAAAGGATGCATCATATGATTCTTATCCCTATCCCCCTCCGTGTGTGTGTGTGTGTGTGTGTGTGTGTGTGTGTGTGTGTGTGTGTGTGTGATCTTTATATCCAGAGAAGCAGGCTAAACAATTGCCTTTAAATGCAGCAACCAATTTTTCTGTCTTCCTTTTTGCTTTCAATCAAAAATCAGAGTGACTGTGAGGCTCCTAGGCCCCGCTGGATGGGTGTAATTATTCTATACATTTCACATCTGCAGCATCTGTACCTTTTATTGTTCATACAGTTGTTAATGTCAGTTTTGGGAATGAAGAATTCTCCCAAGATGACCAACTAGCTCATAGAACACAAGCATTTTTCTGTTTTATCTTCCATATGAGCATCTTCATTCACTGCAATCCTGTCCATCTTCTGGGTGAAGAAATGCAGAGGACTGAATACAGGTTCTGTGCCATGTGGCAAAGCTGATTGGGTTCTAGGTTTCTACACCAGGCAGCCTAATGTGGTTTCCTTAACCTTGAGCTATCATCTGCAGATGTGCAGAGTGTCTTAGTTGGGGTTACCACTGCTGTGATGAACCAGCAGCTTGGGCAGGAAAGGGTTTATTTCACTTACACTTCCATATCACTATTCATCATCGAAGGAAATCAGGGCAGGAACCCAAATAGGGCCAGAACCTGGAGGCAGGAGCTGATGCAGAGGCCACGGAGGGTTGCTGCTCATTGGCTTGTTTTACATGGTTTGCCCAGCCTGCTTTCTCTAGCTCAGGGCTGGCCCCATCCACAATGAGCTGGGCCCTCCAACATCAATTGCTGATTAAGAAAATAGCCTACTGGCTTGCCTACAGTTTGATCTTATGGAGGCTTAAGATCCTCCTTAACCGAGGTTCCTTCCTTTTGGAGGACTAGAGCTTGTGTTAAATTGACATAAAAACCAGTCAGAATAAAGGCATCTAGCTGAGGAGGATGTTGGTAATTGAAGTGCAGCAGGCACTCCGCTTTTTAAATAGACCCACGTCTACCTGGACATTCTGAGTTGGTGTGAAGGAGCAGAAGGGTAAAAGATACTATGTCAAACACGTCCTACTGTGTGAAATCCCCCTTTCCCTTGGCGCATTTCTTTCCCTGGGAAATGGTTTGTTCCACAAGCTGCCATGCCATCCCTAATATTTTCTAGTTGTAGGAGGAGGTATGTTGTGTGGTAGAAGGCAATTAGTCTGTAACCCTAATTGATTGCTCTGAATTCAGTGAGTCTCAGAGTAGTTTTACATATGAAATGATCAGTGCCTACATCTGCAGGGTCTACTTTGTTTGTAACTCTGTGCTGGGTGGGATGTCACACCCTTGGCATCCCAGGATGTTACTTACCCAGTGGAGGTTAACATTAGGGGGCTTGCCTTGAGCCTTGAGACTGTTTGCAAAGCCATTTACAGAGCTGCAGCCTTCTATGCCTCCCATGTCTGGAGACAGCAGCCTTGTCAAGGTCCACAACCCCAGGTGACACTTCAGGTGACAGACCTGCCTGACTTGTGGGTGGCAGGGATGTTAGTGGTCTCTGCTGGAGTCCAGCAGGCAGAGATGAGAGGAGCCATGCTCAGAGGGGAGAAACCATCCAGATCGGGATTGCAGGGAGCCCAGGTTGTCAGCTTGAAGCAGATGCTGAGAGATGGAAGGGACTGCATTCCACCTTGCTGTGCACTGAGTAAGTGTGGCCGTCTCTGGCTGTGTACAGCACTCTACAGAGACATTTGATATCCAATCCCACAGCCATTTATGAGCTACCAGGAAGGCTACACTAGGTTTTCTTATTTGACTCTTAAGCCTAAGCACTTAGTTTCACTTAGTTACATTGTTTTAAAAACTCAGGTATCTCAGAATGGATGTTTTTTTTATTGTGTTGAATTCAGGGGAACATTTAATAAACAAGGTAGCTTTTTATTAGCTTCCATGCTCATTGGCTATGCAATACAAGAGGGGAAGTGGTGAAGCTACAAATGAAAGTCCATCTTACATCTCCCCGATCCAGCTTAGTTTTTGCTGCTATTTATAAATGCTTCTTCATTCAATTTACTGAAATATGAGACTCTTAAAATAAATTCATATACAGGATGGACAAGCACAAATTGCAATTACTCTCACGTTTGTATGATGCCTACCCAACATTTGATGTCCTATAATGCTTGCAAGGATCCTATGACGTGTCCGCTATTCATTGAATTATCCTTGCTTTGCAAAATAGTTGGCACTTGGATTGTGTATGCATGCCAGCGCAATGGGCTCCGTATGTCCTTTTGGCTTTTCACAAATCATCTCCACAATGATGATCAGGTGGTAGAAGTGGGAAGCCCCTCCTTGTCAGCCCATGTTCTCCAAAGCCGCACATCATCCCAGTCCTCAGCAAGATAGATGGGTGTAGTACGTTTCCTCCATGTGTGTAAACAGATCCATTTAGGAGAGTTCTGTGTATGTGACTTCTGCAGCGTTTTGTTGGGGGAGATTATTCATACCATGGTAAAGGTTTCTGCCCTACTTCAAGGTATCACCATTGCATGTTGACACACAAGCCATGCTGCTGATACCAGTCACATGCATTCCTCCCAGCTTTGGCTGTCATGAGCAGCACAGTTGGCCACATGTACCATTCTGTTCCTTGTCGCAAGTGTCACGAGGTGGGTCCTTGGAGCCTGACCTGTAGAACTTTTTTGTTTTCTCTCACATGAACCTCATTATACATCATCCTGTAGATACATAAGACATTCCAAACCCAAACCTTGAGTTATTTTTGAATTTTGGCATTGTATTTTTTCTTTCCTTTCCTTTTCTTTTTTGTTTTTTCAAGACAGGGTTTCTTGGTGTAACAGCCCTGGCTGTCCTGGAACTCACTCTGTAGACCAGGCTGGCCTCAAACTTACAGAGCTCTACCTGCCTCTGCCTCCTGAGTGCTGGGATTAAAGGTGTGTGCCACTACCTCCCTGCTCGGCATTGCATTTCTTTGAATATATTAAAAATAAGTTTTGTAGCTGGGTGGTGGTGGCGCACACCTTTAATACCAGAACTTCGGAGGCAGAGGCAGGCAGATCTCTGTGAGTTCGAGGCCAGCCTGGTCTACAGAGTGAGTTCTAGGATAGCCAAGGCTACACAGAAAAACCAAGTTTTGAAAAAAAATCTAACAATAATGTTTTGTAAGCTAGGGAAGCAGCAACAGGATTTATGTGTTAAAATGTCCATGTATACATGGCAAACTGTGAGAGATTAAATATCTTCCCAAGTGTCTTAGTTAAATCTAGACACTGACTTACATAAAGTTTCCATTCCCATGAGCTCTTTTGAAAAGCCTTATCTACCTTATAGACAATTATATTTATTATTATTTTTTGAAGTTTGAATTTTCCTAGCTACCAGAATTTTAGAGGCTTTTGGTAATTTATTGGCAATGTGAAGTATATGAATTGGCTCTTTATGATTGTGTATTTTCCACCAGTTTTCCTTTAGTTGATGTGCAGCAATTATTGTGGATATTAATCAAGATATTTAGAAAATTAAGGTTAGTTCTACATTCCTGTTACAGGCATTTCTCTCCACATTTGCATGTTTGCTTATTGTGGTAAAATATGGATACAAAGTAAATCGTTTTAGCCTTTTAAAGTTCTAATTTCAGTGGCACTATGGGATTCACACTGATGCATGACCATTACCATACATCTCCAAAACGGCTTTCATCTTGTAACCCTGAAACTCTGTATAAACTCCCAATACCTCCTTCCCTTACCCAAGTCCCCTGCCAGCTACCCCCATACTAATACATTCTCCTTTCCCTACCCCAGCACCCTGCTAACCACTCCCATACCCACATCCTCCTGCTTCCCCTCACCCCAAGCCCCTACAACTACCTTCATACACAATACCTCTTCCTTCCCCCCACCTCAGGTCCCTGCTAATTACCATTATATTTTCTGTTATGGTATAGAGACATACGGATATAAGAATTTTGTATGAGGGGAGTCATACAGCATTTTATTAATTGAATTACTTTGCTTAACATAATGTCTTCAAGGTTGGTCTATATCATTACAAGTTTCAGAAATACCTTTCTAAAGCTGAATAATATTCCATTACATGGATGTACCATATCTGTACAACCATTCATCTATTGATGATCTTGATTATTTGCAATATTCAGATATTATAGATAATACTGCTGTGAAGAAACTATTTCATGCTTTTGATTAAGAGACTACTTAAATTATGTTCTGTCTCTGTATCCCCCTCTCTCTCTCTTTCTCTCATGCACACTACACACTCATGCACATACACACAAACACACACATATATACACACAAAGACAAATACACACATTCATGCACATACACACAGACAGACACATACATACATACACATAGAAACATACACACAGAGAGATACAGATATACATACACACAGACACATATAACATACATGTACATACATGCAAACACACATACAGAAACATACAGGGACACACACAGACACATACACATATGAACACAAACACATACACACATGCACAGACATACATATACATATATGCACACACACATACAAAAACATGCAGGCACACAGACACAAACACACACATACACAGACACACATACATATACACATATGCACATATGCACACAGGCATACACACACAGGCACACACAAATCCACGCATGCACAGACACACATACATACACACACAGAAACATACATGTACACACATACACTAGACACACACATATACACATGTACAGAAACATACAGGCACATACACAGACATGGATACACAGACACATATGCATATACACAGACACATACATATACATATACACATACACACATGCACACAGGCACACACACAGACACACATACATATATACATACACATACATGCACACAGATACACACATATACACACAGACATACACATATGCGTATGCACTAAGGAAAATAGAAAGAAAGAAAACAAGCATGTGTTAAGCAAAGCAGATACATTCATGGAATAGCACTTTCTTGGTGAAAAAGCACAAGAAGAACTTGGCAAACTTTCCAGGAGCAAATGGCCGCTGCTTATTATAAACACATCAGAGTAGAACCCAGTGTCCTGGGTTGCACACTTTGGAGCTATTTTGTTAGCAAAAGTCATACTCTCACATTGTAACTGACACAGCGGTCATCAATACTTGATTGCCTGTAGTCGATTTCCTGTGCAGTCATTTAAAATGAAAAGTTGAAGATTGTTTTGTCAGTGTGGAAGGACCATCTCTAATTTTGTTCTCTCTCTCTGTTTCTGTCTCTGTCTCTCTCTCACGTCTCTCTCTGTCTCTGTCCCTGTCTCTGTCTCTCTGTCTCTCTCTGTGATCTGCTTAAAGTAGGATCTAAGGTAGCTTTGGTTCAAGGGTGACCTTGAACTCCAGATCTTTCTGTGTCTACTCCCTGAGTGCTGGGATTGCAGTCATGTGCCACCATGTTTGTTTTGTGTGGTTCAGGCATCACACATGTTAGGGACTCACTCTATTAACTGAGATGTATCCCCAATCCTCTTGATTGGTGTATTTTAATAATTATTTTCTTGAGTAAAAGTTTTTTTCTGATGGGAGTCTTTTTAAATGTTTATTGAATTTGTTTGCTGACAGTTCCATACTTGTCACACCCATCCCCTTCTACTCTCTCTCTTTCCATTATCCCCTTTACCATATAATTACCTTTCAGGCATTCATTTTCCTAAGATCACTGAGTCGAACTAGGGTTTTGTTGTTTCAAAATGAAAATGTGAATTGTTAGTGCAATGATGTAGTGTAGCAACAATGACCATTCCTGGTTTTAAAATGTCAGGGAAGTAGTTGGAAATTCTTCTGCTCAAGGATGGCTGAATGACCAGTGGATAGGGTGGCTAATCACAGTCAGGTTGTGGTGAGGTGGGGCAAGTTATGATTCAGATCAAACCACCTTCTGCGTTATTTATTGAAACTAGTGATCATAGTCTGATAAATCCTGGGAGTAATCAAAACTTGGAAGCTGTATAAAGCCCACATTTATCAAAGCATTGCAAAATGTATTGTTAATTTAATGTTAAATGCTTGTGGTGAGGTCTGTATGTCAACATAATCCGGTACAAGGGAATGAAGTTCTTCACTGTGCTTGTGGTCTTGAGTTGGTTTTATCTCTCTAAACCTTGAATAGCTCATCAAACCACAAATTCACCTATAGCTCTCTCTCTCTCTCTCTCTCTCTCTCTCTCTCTCTCTCTCTCTCTCTCTCTCCTCTCTCACACACACACACTATAATACACATATGTGCATAATACACATATGCAAACATTTCACACATACACACACACCCTCGCCCATGCCAACCAACCAACTAAATATAATATCACCAAAATCAAAGCACACAGGTGCTATATTGGTCAATTTTCCTTGAATAAGTGTATTAATGTAGATTAAATAATGCTTTAAAGTACTTAAAACTAAATTAATTTCAAAATCCACCAAAAATACAAACATGATCATTTTGCCACACTCACTCTGTTTAGAAGTGTCCATGGGACATTATGCAGATCTCTCAGGTGATTTTGAAGGAACACACAGGAAAAGCCACAGGAATTTTCCAGTTAGGCTCTCAGATAAGGAGTTCTGTAGAATGTATAGTAGAAGCAGTAGTCAGTTGAAAATATTGTCACCTAGCATGTAAGAAGCCCGGGAAAAAGAAATAAGTAAAACACTAAAATGCCGTACCTGGAATAAGTGTGTCTCTCCCCCCCGCCCCGATTATTTTATCAATAGGTGAAGATTTGGTTTCAGAACAGAAGGATGAAATGGCGGAATTCCAAAGAAAAGGAAGTGCTCTCTAACAGGTGCCTCCAAGAAGTGAGCCTTCAAGAAGACAGGCTTACACGGTCCACTGTGGGCTTCCCTCCTCCGTGCCCTGCAATATGGGACGTCTCCCAGCCGCACTCAAGTCCCAGCTGGAGGGAGAACTCTCCAGAACCTGCAGGAACACTGACCCAGGAGAATTCAGGGGTACCAGAAGCAAATTCACTCCCAGGTGCCTTGTATCTGTGTCCTGAGAAGGAAGCCTGAGACAAGGATCGACTCACTAGCGCCATCTGAAGGAAGCATACTCCATGCGCAGCTAAAAGAATGTTAGTTGGTAACATTTGGAATAAAGCCAATTAGATTGTGTCTCAACACTGCCTTAAACTAACACGTTGGCATGATACCTGAGCTCATGCCTTAGGAGAGCCAGTCTGCTGTTTCTTATTTAGCCCTAGACTGTGGCTCAGTGTGTAAATGGAATAGAATCTCTCAGAAGGTACTGTAGGAATAAGAGCCAGCGTCTGTCCCACAGCCTGTTTGAAAACGTGTATATATGGGTGTTTTCTGTGTATATGTGTGTAAATGCTCATTAAATGCGTTAGCAGGAACCAGTTCTCTCCAAGTTTTACATAGAGACAATTCAATTTTTTATATGAAGAAAATAAATTGAGCGAATATTAATTTTTCAAAGAATATAATAAAATTTGTGCTTCGATGCCCCACAGTTAATTATGATTATAAAAATTCTCAACTCCTAGCTTCTTTGGTATCCAGGTGTAAGTGAATTTTAGCAGGCTCCACACTCCTAATCGAATGAACTATTGTTAGAGACCCACACCGAAGCTAGAGACGGAGAACTCAACAGGAACCCCAAGTTTTGAAGGTGGTTATCAGCATTGCTCTGTTCCAGGTCTGAGATAGACGAGGCTCTCAGTGAAGAAGGTCCACATTTGGGTGTGAATCGGCTTTTTGGTCTCTTCTCCATAGAGGTTATACTAGACCAGGGTTTCCGAAATAAAATAAATGCCTGAGTGGAGGTGTTTGTCAGATAACGTGTTGGCATTCAGTAACTTTTCAATTATCTGTGCCAACTACTTTGTCATCAGTGGCCAAAAAGTCAGGCCACCGTGTCACCATTCTTAAACTGTCTCTAATAGGACTAAAAGTCACATTATGAGCAGGCCCTGTGGTCAGTGCTGAGCCCACACTACATACAATCTCAATTTTCCACCTACTTGCTTCACACCACATATGTTATGTGGTTTTATATATTAACAGACAGCACCCAGATGTTTTATGATTACTCTGAAATAGTCTTTGTGTAAAATCATATTTCTGGTAACGATTTTCTTAACTATCCAAGTATATTAATTCTAGGGCCATGAAAAACTTTTTTTACTTTGCAGGAAATGGAGTCAAAAGGGGTGGGGGGAATACACAGTGTGGTTTTGAATGAATCTTTGGGCAAACAATGCACTGAGAAGTCCTTCATGAGAATTTTGTTAGTGAGCAAATAACCCAGGCTTACTTCGCAGCTCTAGGCTCTAAGGGTTTAGCATGCAGACGAGAGAATATTTGGGAAGATAATAGTTGTAATGAACACCAGGGAATTGTGTTTTAATTAATGGAGCTTGGATTGGTACTTTAGCTGGTGACTTTGTCACCTTTATGTTCCCTAAGGGTCATGTTATAGGGTTGTCTTGGAGCTCCCTCATGAGAAGGAGAGCCAGGGATCTCTTGACTACAGTTTACAACTTGTTTTCAAAGTGAAGTGCAGGGTACTTTCTTTAGTACTGACCTTATTGCATTTGTAAGGCAGCTCTGTATTGCTAGATGCTGTGCTGAACATTTAGGGTCTGTTGCTCATTCAGTCCTCATGGCCACCGCCCCGTGACTTAGGCCATGCTACATATACGTGTGCTCTCTCACACACAGCATAGCTATGGTACACGAGGCCTTTCTGCTTTTTCTCCGCATTATCTTGTCTGGACTGGAGTGAATGACTGGGCCCTTGCTAGAGAGGACTCCCTTCTTATCCTCTGGTGTCCCCACCCCCACGCTGGCGTTGTGTGAGCATTTTCTGTTAGATAGCTGCAGATTCTTTTCTGGAAGTGATAACATATTGGTATATTTCATGTCTGCTTCTCAGAGAAATACTGTTTATAATTAATACCAGGACCACAGAATTCTGGAGAATGAAATATTGAAAAAAATAAGAACACCTCAAAAGGCATTTTCATTTGGGTTGTAAGTAGAGGAAATGAATGTATTTTTTTAATATTTAGGGATTAGAAATATATAAACAGGGTAGGTATGATAATAGGCTTTGGAGACAATGAAGATGATTATCACTGATGTTTAAAAGACAGCTTGGTCTTTTTTAACAATAAACAAGAAACCCAATTACTTTGTCAAGTGATTCTCAGGATTACACATGACCGCACCGTAACTCCCAGACTCCGCTAGCATCCACACCCTGCTCCTCCAACATCCTTACTCTCACTTGACTCCCCCAAATCAGCACATATTTTAACTTCAAATATAAAATTATGAATATGCCCTAAGCTGTCCTTCCGATATCTCCACTTCTAAACTGCATTCTTCCTAGTGTTCAGCAAGACCCAGCCACCCCTATTGATTCTGTGACTATTTTGTGGCGTTTGACACAATGAAGCTTATTCCACACGTTCTGACGTTTGCTGGGCTGTATCTCTAGCCACTTCAAATTTTCCCCCAGTGCTTCTCTTTCTTTATTTCATTCCCTGTATTTACCCTCAATGCAGGTAAATACAGGGAATGAAAAAGGTTTGTGTCTTCAAAGAGCTTCTAAATTAGCTGCCTTGCCATACAGTAGTTGAAATATTCCATATTACTTCTTGAAGGCTCCAGTCATTTTAAGGGAGAATATTAGCATCCTCCAAACCTCACCTGTCTTTGCAATGACAGCCCTCTTAAATGCTCCACTAATCAGAAAACACAAGGACACCCGCCACTCCTTCCAGACACTGTTGTCACAAGAGCTGGGAGTCAAAAAGGCTTCCAGGGAGAATTCACTAGCTCCCTTCGTTCACAGTGACCCGCCTCATTTTTTCCCTTTTAAGCCCCTATAGGAAGAGGGGAATGTAAGCGGGAGAAATCAGGATGATGCATTCTTGGAAATATAAGGGAATGACTGCAGGATTAATTTATATCTTTTTCAAACCATTTCTGAAACAAGCATTTACAACAATGACAATTCACAATGGTTGTTAGCATCTTGTTATTACTCTGGCTACATTGTGTTTTTTTATGTTTGGTTATAAATAAATGCACTTGAAAACAGCTAACAAAGTAAAAGTCATGAAATTCTAGTAGACTGTCCTCTTGGGAAAAAGTTCATTTACTTTTTAATGTGTGAGTATGTAAATACATATGGCTAAACAGATCTGGATTGTAGTGTCTATTCAGCTTCCATGCTTTTTTATTTTATTTGTTCACAGACCATTGTCCCACATCATTAAAAATTACTCAAAACTATGATGGCTGCATTGTTCTATTGTAGTTCTTTTAGTTCTTGGGGGGTAAACCAGGGAATGGGCCAGAAGAAACCAGGGTGTGGAAGGAATGCCCACGGGACCCTGTTCTCTAGAAAAATAATCTATTGTGCTTTTGATAATATCAGCAGATGAATGAAAGTTGAGCAAGTTTGGTCTTATACACTCAGGGTGTTCAGTATCAAGGTAAATCAAAAATACTAAAGAGACAGTGTCTTCTAAAAAGCTACTCTGAAGCCTGTCAGAATGTATAGTTTAACTGGATTTATATGCTTGGTCTTCAACAGAACCACCAGTAAAGAAATAATATGAGGTGATAGTCTCAGAATGCTACACTACCTAGCTGTCTGGATTACTGAATTAGTATTTTGAGTCTGTATTGCTGTCTGTAAAGTGAATAGGATTCAGACCCAGAGAGCTGTGCCATCTGCTACCACTCTGAATGAGTATACAAGGCTGGTGTCCCCACATCATCTAGAATTACCACAATTTTGTGGTTCTTTTCTTAAGGTTGTTTAAATGATAAAAATTATGGGTGTGTTGAGAAGTGCTGGAGATCAGAACATTCCAAGGTTACCAGAGAGCTAGGAAACCTTGAGTGTCATTCAAAACCATAACAGATCCATCCAGTCTTTCATGTTAATTGAAGCTGAAAAATCAGGAATGTCATATTTGAATCAGATACAGTGATGTAATTATTGATTTAAATTATATGACTCCACCTAACTCTCTTAAGATTGTGTCTCCTAGATGTTCTCTTTTGTGTGTCACAGATTTTTCTCTGCCTTTCCGTTGTAAGGACATGTTGCCATTGGATTCAAACCAAATCCGGAGTGATGATGTCCCAAGAATCCTTAAACTCTATTGCATCTTCAAAGGCATTCTTCTCAAGTGAAGTCAAATTCACAGAACTTTGGGGTTTAAACATGGCTGATCATTTACAGGATCAGAACATTTTATCCCAATGTATATCACAGTAAAAAGTCTAGGATCAATAAAGGCGAGGGACAGCCTTCCTCGACATTCTTCTAATGCAATTTAACTTACATGGCTTTAATAAGTTTTTATATCAACCAAGCAATTCACTACTTGTGAGGATATTTGGCCAGGAAATTTTTGCAAAAGTACCTTCATTTTAGATTTTTTTCAATGCACAGGGAAAATTTAAGAAAATGCAACACTAATTTTTCAAAGCCCTCACATGGATTCCAGATGTTGACGATTTAATCCAAGAAGGTGTTTCCTTATTATACAAATGTGGTACACATAAAAAATTGGCATTGTTTAATTTATGACTCACACATGAACCATTGTTTTTGTGATATAGTTATTTTAAGTAATTCATAAACTAAACAATGCCAATATTTTAGACACATACCACATTTGTGTAATGAGGAAACACCTTCTTGCATTAAATGGCCAACATCTGGGATCCATGTGGGAATTTCTTTGAAATTTTAAATAAAGACAAATTAGTATGTCATAAAACCAACATGGCGAGTCAGAGGTGCAAGGATCTGGTAATCACAGATGAAGTAAATATTGTAACACACTGTGGCTTAGAGAATGTGGATGCAATTGACAGAGAGAGCCGGTAGGGCTTTTCCAATATCGCTGTGAGGATGGGACAAAAGAGGGTGTGGAGAGAAATGCAACATGGGCAATACCTATTCAGCGATCAAAAATGAACCCAATTGTATTCTCAGTAGAAAGAATCTTCTTCCACAAACTGTAGCAAAGAAGAAGTGTAGGGAGGACTTCAAGTAACGCCAAACATTTTCTAAAGCAGACAGTGAAGGCGAGTCAGCAGGAGTGGCCGGTGAGGTGCTCCAGGTATCATGTCAAGGAAAAGGACCTGAACCTCCTGAGCAATGCTACATGTGTGTGGGATGAAGGCAGAGGATTCTGCGAATCTAGCAATGGGGAGAGTGGTGATGGCTTTGGCATTAAAGAACCTTACCTAGAATAGCAAGGGGCAAAAGCCTAACTACTGTGTTGAAGAGAGGATGAAAAGTGAGAAAGAGGTTGGGAGGAGATACATAAAACCTGTGAAGAGGTTCGTCTGTGGAGAGAGGGTGGAAGGTGGGCGGGTCTGTGCAGTAAAACCAGATAGATCCCTTTCTTTGTTTCAAGTGGGTTATCCCTAGAAAGTGCTATGAGGATGATGATGGGATGGTTTTGTTAGGAAGGGACAGCAGCACCATCAGAAAGGGGGAAAACAAGTCATGTTTGGTGATGGTAAAAGCCAGTGGATGAAAATCCCCTTGTGCAGGCCAGACCTTCCTTCAGAGGGGCGGTGTGTAGAGAAGAATAGATCAGGTTGGGGCCCTTTGATGTAGAGAGTGAGGAGATGGTCATCCAGCCTGTGACATGTGTGAAGTGTGAAGCAGAGTTATCAGCTGAGAGTGACTTAAAGGTTAAGGAAGGCCGGGAGGTCTCAGGGAGGAGAGGAAATGGGAGAGGAGGGGAAGTGTATTTGAGAAACTGAGTAGGGTTTCTGGGATTTATTTAGTACTTATGTCTGATCCATGACTGAACATGAAGTAAAACACACACATGTAACTTCTTATACTAATAGTTACATATAATTACATACATGAGGAAGGTAGATTGACAACTTGGATTTTGCTGGCAGTATAATTTAGCTGCATAAGATGTAAGGGAGACAGGGGACTTGGTTAGTAGACTGTGGGAAGTTTGCTGGACAAGGGAAGCCCTGACACAGTAAGGGGCCAATCGTTATCGAGAGAGTGCTGGTGTCAATGAGGTCTTTGAATGTGACCATGGAGAAAAGTGGCTAATATAATGGAGAGGAAAGTCACCCGTGGCAGAGAGAGATGGGAGACCTCCTTTCACTTCTTTTCTTTCCTGTTTTTATGTGTATGTGTGATGTGTGATGTGTGTGTGTGCGCGCACGCTAGTGGAAGCCTACTGCTGACATTGAGAATCTTCTTTGATCACTACTCCACTTTGTTCTTTTGAGGCAGCGTCTCTCAGTGAAATGCAGATGTCAATGGATGATAGCTTGCTCTGTGGATCCCCTGACTATGTCTTCCAAAGCTGGAAGTAAAGCAAGACTGTTACATCCACCTAGATTTTCCATGGTTTCTGGGAATCTTAACTCTGCCCTCTTGTTTTTACAGAAAGATCTTTAGGTACAGAGTCATCCCTCCAGCTCTGTCACTATTTTGAAATATAACTTTGGTAACTGAGTCTACACAGAGCTTTTCTTTTCTTGAAACCGCCTGTAATGAATTCTTATTCCATCCTCACTATCCACCATATCTCTTTGCTCAAAACCATATTAAATGTATGCTGTCTTCATATTCTTTATTTTGCCTTTAGGGCTTTGCCTGTGGTTTTTTTCTCATTATGTATAACAATTTAACTTCAATAAACCTTATTTCAGTGTTACATAGATTTCTGAGGGAAGACCATTTCAGGCAGAAGAAATAGTCACTGATAGTATCTTTACTGGTTAGTTTCATTACCAGCTTGATGAGATCAGGGGTCATCTGGGAAGAGAGGCTGAAGGAGGAACTATTTAGATCAGGTTGGTCTGTGAGAATGTCTGTGAGGGACTGTTAATAACTGTTAATTCATGTGGGAAGGCCAACTCTGAATGCCAGCAGTGCCATCTTATGGGCTAGATTCTAAACACCGAGTTCTAATTGAGCAAGGATACGTTTATTTCTCTTTGCTCTTGATGGTGGATGTGATGTGACTGACTGGTTGAGTTCTCATCTTGGCTATCCTGAAAAGATGGACTATAACTTGGGATTGTAAGCCTAAGTAGTCTCTTTCCTTCCTTCAGTTATTTTGGTCAGGACATTTTTATCACAGCTACAGAAATAAAACTAAGATCAGTATCTAAGAGAGAAGATGGCATACATTAAAGCATTGTTTCAGTAGGTAGAAATTTTATAATACACTTGGTTCAAAGGACAGCAAAGAAGGCAGTGTGACTATGAGGTATAAACGGTATGGAGTGGGGAAAGGGAGGCCAGAGGTTAAGGGATGTAGTCTAGACCAGCGTAAGGTCTTTGCCTCTTACTGTAAATGAGTGGGAGAAGGAGCAGGCAAATTATATGAGCTTTTAAAGTTTTTGTTTGCTTTTTATTTTTAGAAACAGGGTTTTCCTATGTAGTCTTGGCTGTTCTGAAACTCACTCTGTATACCAGGCTGGTCTTGAACTCATAGAGATCTACCTGCCTCTGCCTCCCGAGTGCTGGGATTAAAGGCATACACCACCTGGCAAGTTTTTCAGTTTTTAAAGGGTCAATTTGTTTAGAGCAGACTAAAAAGAGAAGGGAGATGGCAGGTCAGTCAGGAGGATCATGGAACAACCTACAGCAGAAGAAATGGTCACTTGGGACCATGGCAAGAACATTGGTGGTACCAAGAAGTGCTTGCATTCTGGATAGATTTTAAAGACAGAGCTGAGCATGTTACTTGACATAATGATGCTGATATGGATCAAGAGTCAAGGGTTCTTTTCCTGGGCTCATGGATGGATACAGTCATCATTGGAGAGAGTTAGGTTTTACAGGGGAGAGCGTCAGTTAAGTTTTAGACATCCTGGGTTTGCAATGTGGTAAAGCTCTTCAAGGCAGCTGGGCAGGAGGCAACAGAATATATAAGGTTAGACTTCAGGAGACATTTCCATGTTGGAGGTAGATTTTTTTGAAGTCATTAGTATACAGGTAGCACTCAAGTTCTGAGGCTGAAAGAGGTTGTTAAAGGAATGAGTGGATACAAATAATGAGGACTGAAAACTAATGGTGGAGGCCTGAGGCTCTCTCCAATGCTAAGAGGTTTAAGCTGAAACCCAGAAGCAATGAGAAAATAAGGCCAAGAAGAATGAATCTCTATGGTAAGAGGAAGGCCAGGGACTTGGTGTCCTTGAATGCAATAGGAAAGGTGACTAACGGAGGACAGATGGTCACCTGGGTCAGCGCTGAATAATCACACAGTAAAACAGGA